ACCAAGATGAAGGTCAATCTTCAAGATTACCATATAAGCAGTCAAATATGTGATCCTAAAAAGACATTGGACTACATCCTAAATCGCCAAAGGTCAGTTGACAGGACTGTTACATAAGTAACAAATATAACAAGGTAGAAGCAAGTTCATATTTCCAGTTCAATTTGAACATATGCTAAGAGAAACTAAGATAAATTAAGAGTTCAAGATATTTGCAGCACGCATCCATATGTGAGCTGATAAAAATTCTCTCTATATAAACAGATATAGTTAGTACCACCATCTTTCTGAAATTTATGTGGGTTGTCACATCAAAAACAATGATGTTTGACATTGTATTTCAAAGCTATTTATCACAGTGCTAATTCCAACAATGTTTCCATTTGCTACTAACAAAGAGAAAAACATAAATCACAGCTTAGGAAAGAAATCACTTTGCTACTTCAATATAATAAAACAAGAGAAAGACATCCTTAGAAAAATTATAAAAGCTTTATGAGAATTGATACTGAGAACCAGTAATTACCTTGATTCATTCCAATAAGCAGCCACTTCAAACTTTGGCAAAACTAGAGTAGCATTTAAAAGTCGGGCAATACCAACACCATCACACAACTACATTAATCACAAAATCAATTTTTAATTAATAGAAAAATTAAAATAAAGCACTGGATGCAGAGAAATTGAAAAACAATCATAAAAACCTAACTTACATCTCTTCTCATTTGATTGAGGCCACCAAAACAGTCCACACGGATGTATCCATTACTTTGGGCTGGTAGAGCTGCATGATTTCAACAAAAAACCAATGCAATTGTCTGCAATGAACACCGTGTGAAAATGACTCAGAATATCAAAAATCAAACAAAGATCATCAACCAAACATATGCCCCCTCTCTCCCAAAATGCTCTAGAGTTACCATGATCATTTCTTTGATTTCAAGCTCTCATCAAATGTTGGGTCACCTATTGAATCTTGATATGGAGAACCTTTCAACCTCGGAATAATAAGGACTCATTACAAATGAACCTTTAGATCTCTTGGGAATGAGAAGGACTCTAAATTTTTACTAATTGTCAGCACATCATTTTGTTTCTTTCAGACCCGATTATGATACATACATTACAGGAC